TTTTCCGAAACACCACACCCCCTCGACCCTGTCCACATACAGGGCCAAAGAGGGTACGGCGTTTTGATAACGCCGTACCCCCTCCGGTTCTTGGTGGGGGTGGGAGCGGGGGTACGGCGTTCTCAAAACGCCGTACCCCCACTCCCACCCCCACCCGGCAACCGAAGAGGGTATGTCGTTTTCAAAATGTCGTACCCCATTGGCCCTGTATGTGAACAGGGCGGAGGGGGTACGGCGTTTCGAAAACGCCATACCCCCTCCGATTCTCGGTGGCGGGCGGGAGCGGCCGCTACTTTCGCCTCCTGGCAACCGAACGATGTACGGCGTTTTGGAAACGCCGTACCCCTTCGACCCTGTTCACGTACAGGGCCGAGGGGTGCGGCGTTTTGAAAACGTCGTACCCCCTTCGGTTGCCGTCCGGGGGTGGGAGAGGGGGTGCGGCGTTCTCGAAACGCCATACCCGTGGTCCCACCCCCGCCCGGCAACCGAAGGGGGTACGACGTTTTCAAAACGCCATACCCCCTCGGCCCTGTACGTCAACAGGGTCGAGGGGGTACGGTGTTTCCAAAACGCCGTACCTCCTCCTGTTCTTGGTGGGGGTGGGAGAGGGGGTGCGGCGTTCTCGAAACGTCGTACCCCCACTCCCACCCCAACCCGGCAACCGAAGGGGGTGCGGCGTTTTCAAAACGTCATGCCACATCGGGACTGTATGTGAACAGGGTCGAGGGGGTACGAAGTTTCGAAAACGCCGTACCCCCTCCGGTTCTCGCTGGGGGGTGGGAGCGGGGGCGCGACGTTCTCGAAACATCGTACCTCCGCTCCTTTTGCCTCCTGGCACCCGAAGGGGGTAGGCCGTTTTGGAAACGCCGTATCCCCTTCGCCCTGTTTGTGAACAGGGTCGAGGGGGTACGGCGTTTCGAAAACGCCGTACCCCGTCCGGTTCTCGGTGGGGGTGGGAGCGGGGGTGCGGCGTTCTCGAAACGCCGTACCCCCTCCTGTTCTCGGAGAGGATAGGGAGGTGGGCGTGCGGCGTTCCCAGAACGCCGTAGCCTGGCCCCGTAGGTGGACAGGGCCGACGGGTGGAAGGCTTGGAATCTGAATGCGATCCGTTCCTTCGTTTGGAATGTGCGTACCATCAGGAGGAGCATCTGCTGTCCCAGAAAAGAGAGTCTATAACACGTGCACAATCTATAGAGATAGGGAGTGGGCCCTTGATTGGGGGGGGGGGGCTACACGAGGCGGGATGTGGGGCCGCTGTGTTTCTGAAGAACGCCTCGGGTGACGACTGGTTCTGTGTTGGAGGGATTGTTAAATCCCAGGATGAGAGGGTGGACGGGCACGGACGAAAGTTCAGGAGGTTTTTCCTCACAACGGTGTTCGAACCATGCGAAGGCCGACCGTAAAGTCAGCCTTGATTAGGATCTGTTCAAGGGGTATGGCGGTAAGGCTATTACCATGAAAGCCTTCGATGTTTCCCCGAAAGAAGACGGGAGTGTGTTGACGATTCTTAGCCCCGTTAAATTCCTCGCCAAAACGAACGGCTACAGGAGATGCGAAAACAGTCCCACGGTTGAGACCGGGCATCGTATGTCCCCGACATTCGTGCCTTTTGACACGCCAGACGAGGATCTTCCTGGTATAGCAATGACAGAGAGACAGAGGACACGACGTAGTTTTCCAACGCAGCAGACGTCAGCGACTGGGAGCTAGCGCCGCAACAAACAGAGCCAGCCGCGTCGTTCACCAGGCGAGGATGAGTATGGTCCTCCTGCTGGTTCGTCCCGCCGGATGGAGTGTGCTGGACCGTCTCAACCGTCAAGCCGGCAAGACCAAGGCACCCCTGTCATCACATACAAAAGGAAGGCCCTGCCAACTCGTCCCTCTCCCAATTGCCAGAAGGACGAAGGTGGTGCGTCCAGGAAGGCGGGGCTGCGGGAGATCAGCGAAGGATCGGACGAGGAAACGGAGGACGATTCTAGGATATGTGTTGGTCGACATCCACAGGGTAATCATGCCGTCGACGATGACGAATGTGGTGTCGATGAGGACGACGTCGAAGAGGAGAACAGCGAGAGGGAGAGAGAGAGAGAGGATCGTGAGGAATCTATGCACGACTGCGAGGGTGGGGAGTCTCAACAATACTATGAGGAGGACGACGGGGGCGATGGAGAAAACGATCATGCCTATCCTGTAGGTGATGACGATGGACGACAAGAGCGGTCGGCTGATGTGGGGGTCGACGACGCAACAGGAGAGCGGTCGGAGGCCAGTGTCCAGAAAAGGAAGCGACAATCTTCAACAAGTCCAACGGCGGCGGCGGATAAGCGTGCTGCGAAGAAACCCACTGTCGCTGCATCTCGACAGACGCTCAAAGATTCTCAAGGGGCGGTCGTTGAAAGCGTGAAGAAACGAAAAGGGTCCGCGTTGACAAGGGCGACAAAAGCGGAGAAATGTCCACCGAAAAGAAAATAGATGGTGGATGAGGGTGACTCTGGAGAGGATGCCGAAGGGGTTCCTCCAAGAGATGTGTCGAAACAGACACAACCTTCCGCCGACACCCGTGATGAAGCCATCATCACAACACGATGCTTCTTCTTGGAGTTCGATGAAGATGGGTTTGCAAAGAAGAAAAGAGAACACATTGAAGTGGACGTCACGAAGATCTTGCCAATCCCTGAAGGTGACATCCTCTTCAACCATAGAACGTTGGACGAAACGTTGGTGCAGTCCATATATGATGTGATCCATTATGTGGCCAAGGAAACCAACGAGAAGTGGGATTTCATGACTTTCATCCTGGCTCCCATTGTGCCCAACAGGGATGGGTTTCAAGGCAGACGGATCACACCGGAGCAATTCGACGTCGAACTGGCTCATACATACAACTTGTATGCTGTTGTTGGCCAGCACACGGCTGAGGCAATGAACATACTCATTAAAGACAAGTCACCGGCCGAGAAAGTGTATGGCTTGAGGTCRTACTCTCACGTACGTGTTGTCTACTTTGACGATGACAGAAAGGGAGGATATCTGTAAGTCTCGACGTTCAACAACACGAGGGAGGAGCGCTCGATCCCAAGATCGTTTTCGTCATCTGTGCGCCAAATCAGAACATTTTGGGATAAGAGGAATGGCCGGATCCGTCCGCCAGGGACCGTGTCCCTGAATGACGTCGAGGGAATGAAACGGAAAAAGAAATGGGAAGAGTTCATGAACGCCACCTGCAAAATGACACCTGATTCCGGTCTCATGAACTCGTCCCTGGAGAAGGACTACTGCAAGGACTGGACGAACAAGATGCGCGGATACATGTATCTTGCGCAATGCGGCGAAACAGTATGGCCAGTAGTACAAAAATTCTTCGACATGTACGAGAAGGGGCTATTGCCGCGAGTCGACGGTGTGAGATACATCGACCTGCCGGGGAAAGTGGAAGGGAGGCTGCCTCGGCAATACTTCCTCAAGGACAACTCCGACAAAAAAGTCATGTTCCACTGCAGCTAGGCCAGGAAGGGGCCACAAGGCGCAACGGTGTCTATACCTGACTTGACGCCGACAATCTTCAAGGCTTCAAGTTGTTCCGCGATATGACAGCGAGAGAGAAGCAAGTGGCGCTTCACCACATGATGTGTGGTGATGTCATCGTGACATCACGTTCGGTACCTCGTGGTAGATGCAACATGGCAGACCTGGTTAAATATACTCGGCGTGAAAGATATATGGTCCGTATGTTCAACTACATATTGTTCAAGGCCGAGGGGAGGTCAAAAGAAGAGTGTAGCGCTGACTTTTTCATCGGTTATACGACCATCTTTGAGAGGTACAACAAAAACGGCCTGACAGGTGAGAAATGGACCGAGGAACGCGACCACATCCCTGACGACAAGGCAAGGAAGGTGCCGAGGCGTTTGGGCGGTCCTGATGAGATTAATGGTGAGAACGGTGCGGGACTGGAGGCAAGCCAAGGCATGTATAAGGAAACCCCGTTCCACCTCAAGTGTTTCATCTACGAGGCAATCGACTGCTTGGACGACCTGAGAGCGGAGATTAATCGGATATCCTCCAGTGCTTGTTACATATTTTGGGAAGTGGGGAAGAGGATTACCACGATTCTGCCATTTGAAATCGAACCGAAGGGAGTGCTCACCGACAACGAGGAGGTTGTTGGTACGGCGAGGGGGATGAAGATACGGGCAACCATTCTTGATATGTCAACATCACTGAAATGTGTTCCGTGGGATAATAACGCCTTTTCCAAACTGTACGCTTTCCTCATGACATGTTGTGGCGAAAACTGGGCCTTGATCATTTTCTCGCCGATGAAACACTAGAAATAGGTGATGCAGAGTGCGTACAACTGGGATGATGTTGAGGTGCTCACAGGGTCATGTTACAGACACTATACACCTTCGACAACCTTGAACAAGTACGGCAACATTGCAGTTCCGTACACTCACATGATGGCTATTGTCCTCCACGCCAAGAACGACGATTTGGACAATATAACGGTTGCGCCGAAATTGCGAGCCGAGTTGACAAATTTGAATGTTGAAGAGGGTGAATTTGTGAGGTGCTCAGGGGAGTGTATCGGTGTGGAGGGCGACACCGACGCGGTTTATTCTTGGATGGAACGAGAGCCAGCACGTTTCCGAAAACGGTGCAACTCGTTCATCAGGGAGGATGATGGCGTGATGCTGTTGGGCAGGGCGCATGCGGGACTGATTTGGGAACTCGCTCGCGCCGGACACCACGTGTTTGCGTGTGACGACACGACAAAAGAGCTCACATACCTTTCCAAGTTTTTGGAGTTTTATGTGAAGGATCCGAGGAACAAATGCAGGTTCGAAAAGCCCCAAGTCGAGCACCGCAAGGACCGGGACATTTACTATAAGCTCGGCAAGAAGAGGGAGAAAGTGTGGGCTTACTAATTCGGTGACGCTCCACGGTCGGCGGTTGATAATGACTACGTCATCAGGAAAAGTTAACTCGAGATAGCAATGAACGAGTACCACGGATCCCACATGGGTGCTTTCCACACGTTCGTCGCATGTTGTGAGCATCTGTATTTTAATATGAAGAAAAGAGCACTGTCATGCAGGGACTATGCGGACTTGGCACGTAAAGCGGGGAACTTCAACAACATCGATTGTGACGAAGACACGTCAGACTCTGACCTGGACGTTCCGTCGCGCGCGACACGACGTTCGGCGCAGGGAGCACGTGCCGAGGAGCCGCAAGGGAGCACTAACGCAGATGCGGAGAAGGCGAGGTCGAGTTTGGGAGCGACACATGCTAGCGAGGGAGACGTGGAACATAGAATGAATGCAAGGGGAGAAAAGAATGGTGTACCAACGAACCCGATGGGTGCGAGTGAGGGAATTGTTAACTCACGGGGCATCACAGTGGGAGGAAAGAATGGGTGTGAAATGACCCCGCCGACAGCTGGACCATCATCGACCCATGCACCGCAGGCCGAGCAGCGAACGCTCACGTCGATGGACACAGATGAAGATGAAGAAATGGATATGACAGCAGTCATGCCGAAGCTCGTGCGAGGAAAACCGTTACCTCAAGGCTTTGCTTAAGACCCTTCAGTGCCATACTTGCTGCAAGACAAGTACAAGGAGTCATCGGAGGAGGACTGGGGTCATCATATTCTCTGGCATGAGGGCGTGTTCGAACCGTGCGTGTTTGCGGGCAAGTGGCAAATGGWTGTGAAGACAAGAGACCGCGGGTGGGTCGCGAAGGAAAGAAAGGACGCTGCGATATGGCACAGCGTGACGGAGACGCAACTTTTTCGGCGGGTTGCACAAGAAAATGTCGGTGCAACCGAGGTGGCTGTAGCGGCAAAGGCGAAAGCTTTGTTTGAGCATCTGCGTGCGAACAAACAGCTAGAATTCAACACAAAGTTCTACAACCTTGCATCAAGTATGTCGTACGGCTCCATCGATTGGAAAATCAAACAAGCGTCAGCAGTGCAAGGAATCGATAACATCACCTCTCTGAAGACTCAAGACGTCATCGCGTCTAACACCATCGTTGCGATGGCCAGAGGGGATGCAGACTGCGAAACGGACACACGTGCGAACGCAGGTCACATACAGAATGAACAGTTGCGAGCATGTATTCAACAAAACATACAGAGAAGCGCAATGGGGGATTCCACTATGATACGCAAGGACGACAACGACATGGAGTCGGGCACATTGACAGAGCCGCCAACGCGCGGGTTCAATGATGGGGCAACAATCGTTGGATCTTTCGGGTCTCTTGTCACGACAATGGCGGCGAGGCAAGGCGTATCTGAAATGATGGAGATCGATGCGGGCCAGGATGTTGAAAGCCAGACCGTGAAGGTGGCGCCAGAGCAGGTGGCGGCAACAACAGAGGAGACGAAGAAAGGTGAGGGACCTCGCGAACACATTTCCATAATAGATATGAGATCGGAGAGTACGGGCGAGGATATGATCCAAGATAACGACCAGAAAGATGACCACGTTGCACCACGAGTGGAAGGTGATGACGAAGAGGACGCGCAACGACCGAGACGGTCAACGAGAGCAGTAATTAAGAAAACTGTGTTTGATGCGTAGGAAAGCCTTAGACGGGCATGAGCGTTTACACGTTTCAGGTTATATTGATGTGTCGCCATAAATCATGATGCGATATTCACCCGGTCTTCACATGGGGTGTCTACGCATTTCGTGTTAAATTGATAGGTTGCCGCTGGGTACTGTGTTAGAAAATTATGTTCGACAGGAATGGGTGTAAACGCGTTTTGGGTTATATTGTTGTCTTCATGGAAGTGTTATTGTGACACTGCAATTCTCGAAACATGTAGTACCGATAATAGAGGGTGCCCCATCTCGATACGTAGGTGTGTGTGTGTGTATGTATGTGTGTGTGTGTGTGTGTGTGTATGTGTGTGTGTGTGTGTGTGTGTGTGTGTGTGTGTGTGCGTGAGTGTGTGTGCATCTGTGTGAGTAGGCAGAGGTCGACTCGTCACCAGCGTTGGGTTCTGCGTGTGGATTAAATTGTATGTGCGTGCTTGGTACAGTTTTATAATAAAGGCATATGAAAACACACTATATGGGGCACTTTGTCTGCCATGTTTCAAGGACACCTCTAATTTCAGAGAACTTGTTATGCCATCTTCTAGCGCGCTGTGAATGGTCGTCTTAACCTAAATCCCCATGAACTTAAAAATAAGAAACCATACTAACAAAATGAAAAAAAAAAAAAAATGAAAATATGTGAAACAGCAAGGCTGGAATAGTGAACTTATATTCTAAATACTGCCCAGAGTACTGAACATAAACATTAGAGAACTGATGGAAGCAGGGTTACCGTTAACCACCATAGATCGCGAAAAGTACCATTGATCAATTTACTTTCAAAAAGTACATGAAAATTGGGCAAGAATTGTAGTTGTGTTATGCGCCATATTACGAGGAAGATAGAGGTCGGGGTGTTCATGTCAACTCGCTATAGTATCCTGTTGCCAAGATTTAGCAATTGAAATTTTCTCCACCGTTTCGAGCATGCAAATATGGCAGGCCCCAATCACGATAGCTTACGCTGCGACATAATGCATTGTCATGTGCAGAAAGGAGAAACATAGAAGAAGTACGAAGATGCAAACAGGGATGGACGATCCACTTAGCAACGGATAAGTTATCGGAGAAGGACACGGCCGCGGTGGAATATTTACGAGATGCAGTGCAAGCGGAGAATCGGACGGTCTGGACATCCACGTACAACGGGGCAACAAAGAAGAACTAACACTAACCGGGCATGATTTAAGCTTGATACTGTATCAAGGCAATTGGTTAAACAACGAAATAGTTAACTTTTATTTGAACCTCGTTAGGCTTGACAACATGTGTCGCATAAGTCATCGCGAGTGTGATAGTGGACAAGACGGAACAGTAGTAGAAGGAAAAGGGCGCATCCCGATAACAACAATTTTTAGTTCCTTCTTCTTCGAGAAATTGTTCGACGACGACATGCAATACCAATACAGCGTAGTGCAGAAGTGGATGACAGATATCGATGTGGGTGACGTGGACTTAATAATAGCTTCATTCCATGTCCGGAATTCCAACCATTGGACACTAGTAATAGCTGACCTAAGGCGCCAAAAAATGGAGTACTACGACTCGGTTACGCCTGACAAAGAATTGACAAGGAAAGTGACAGGTGGTTTCGCAAGATTCTTGTTCGAAAGATCGGTTGAACAGGGAAAGGTGGTGGATACAAAAGATTTCAACCACATATGGAATGTGTCAGTCATTCATAGACAGCGCGACATTAACGAATGCGGTGTCTTTATGCTAACATATGCGTCACTGTTGGCAAGAAAATTTCTCCCGCCATTCAACTTCTCTTTCGACGACATCCACAATATAAGGGGACGGATCGCTTTAGATGTACTTGTCACACCGAAATAGGAGTTACTTGTGCACCAAATGACATTTGATAGACGACATTATGAAAGCAAAACATTGTTTATTTTTTTTCAAATGTAAAGAGATCATTAGCTCGGCTGGATAGACACGCATGAAAATGTCCGAATGTATTTAACAAAGCAACAACGCGACATGCCCGATTGAATACCATTCCTGTGTTATTTTATATGACCTCGTACCCCTTACCCCTTACCCCTTACCCCTTTACCCCTTATACCCATAAAACACTGCATAAAATACATACACAAATCGAAAAAAAATGGACTTTCAATTTCGCGCAAAAAATAAAAAATGTACGTTCTGACGAAATCGCAGTTCTATGATGTTTTTAGGACTTAGGGATCCCTACCAACTCGTCTTACGTGGCCTCAACGCTGTTATACTCGAGATCTGCGATTGTTCGATGCCAGAACGACGCTGACCGGAGCTGGGGTGTTGCCCTGTAACCTGCGATGCAGGAGCGTGAGGTCTGGTAGAGAGATCTGGGGAGGTCTTGGGGGGGCTTTCCACGGGACAACCAAGGGTTGCTGCCGGGACGACGCTGGTCGGAGCTGGGGTGAGTTGCGTTGCCCTGTAACCCAGCAGAAAGTGGGGGTGTGAGACCTGGAAGAGAGCGGCAGAGTGTACGACAGTTTTGGAGAACGTTGGAAGGGTGGGTATGGGTTCTCAAGGTTTTTGGAACAATCGTAGTACCTTTGTGGTCTATTCTCTTGGATGGGAGTATGGCATAGCAGCAGTAGAGATGGTGGCTCCGCTGTAGTCAGTCTTGCCGGAGTGAGGCAAAGCGGATCGATGGGGTTTTTCCGAGTCGTTTCTGAATTTTTCATGAAGTTGTCATAGACATGTCTGAAGTAGCTCCAATAGTTCTAAGCTAAAGCCGGGTAATGGTCCCAGTATCTCAATTTTCCAAACTCTATCCTTAGGCCAATTAAAGTTTTCTAGTAGTTCCTTGTCTCAAAAAAAAAAAAAAAAAAAAAAAAAAAAAAAACCGTTTTTCAGGCTGTGGGGTCCCGGAAAACCTCCCCGCTGCCCTCAAATTGGCTTTCTGGAGGGCCTGCTTTGTCCAATGGGGTCCGAGATAAGCTTTTCTACAGTTTTTCCCTGTGCGGTCAAGGCCTTAGGCTTGGACCCCACTGGCCGTCAGGTGGAAAAGTTTTGGCGTGGAAGAGCGATTTCGGGGCTAGGCCGCTAGGAAGCTTTTTGGAGGTCTGCCAACATCGATTTCAGACCTGCCGTTTCCAAAACACCGCCAGCCGTATTTCTACATGGCTGGCAGCTGGAAAAGTCTCCGCCCATGGCCGATGCTCTTTTCCAAGACGCCCTCCAACAGGATAGGGAGGGCAAAGCGCCAGCCATTGGCATCGGAGGCCAGCGAAGAGTGGTGCAGTGAACGGGTTTCGCGGACATACGTTTGGTCCAGGCCGAAATTGCACAAGCCAACCCGAAAGGCTAGCATGTCCTCTGGTCCATGCAGGCCATCCGTGCTTTCCTTTTCGGGAGGGACCCCTCTCAGGTTTCCTCAAACGGCAAGCGAGGCCGTTTCCAAAACACCGCCAGAAGTTGGCGGTGTGGTCTTCATGAAACGTGACAAAAAGTTTCCACCAACGTTGGGCAGCTTTTTGGGGCCTCATTCCTTTTCCAGCCGCCGGCCAGTGGGGTGCAAGCCTTAGGATCGCCTTTTTTGCTCCATTTTCGGGAATTGCTAAAGTTGCCTATTCTGAACATTGGGTGTGATTCCAAAGTACTTGGCCCATTTTAAAAATATATATATTTTGTAGGGCCCAGTGGCAAAGGATTGTATTGATATTTGAGAAATTGAGGTCGGGGTTCTTTTTTTTTTTTTTTTTGAAAAAAAAAAAAAAAAGATCATGTTTATATTTTTACAATTTGCGCGATTACAGTACGCGGCTACTATGCGCATGCAAATCACGCCTTGTAGAACACTGGGAATTTTGAAATAATAGTAAACACAGGACGGAAAAAACAAGAAAAAGAAAAACGAAAGGACACGTAAATAAGTTCTAAGTTATAATCATACATGGAAACTTTGAATGACTGCTGCTGGGTTGATGTCACAGTCTCATCATTGAAACTGCAACTCTCAGTGCGCCTCACAGGTGCTGCCCCCCGCTCCAATAAATGTTCCTTTTCTTGAGCTTATAGGCACTATATCCCCTTGGGCCTCTTTCGATCACAATCCAAACAATGTTTCTGCATTTGTCGAGAGTCTCGCTAGAGCACGGTCATGTCTACGGGTCGTTGCGCTTTGCTGCTTTTCTCCCAGAGATGCAATATGCTCCTCTCTCTCCGTGGTCGTATACACGAAAATGCAACTCTCTGTGTGCCTCACACAGGTGGTCTCCGCCCCCTCCAATAAATGTTCCTTTTCTTCTGCTTATAGGCACTATATCCCCTTGGGCCTCTTTCAGTCACAATCCAAACAATGTTTCTGCATTTGTCGAGAGCCTCGCCATAGCACAGGTCCTGTCTACAGATCATTGCGCTTTGCTGCTATTCTCCCAGAGATGTGATACGCTCCTCTTTCCGTGGTCGTACACGTAATCGGCAAATTGCTCCGGGATGCAAGCGCAACGCATTGAAAGGCGTCATGGCACAACTGTTTTTGTTTTTCCTCTCTTTCGTTTTTTTTTACCCAAATATATTTACTACTTACTACTTAGACAAAAGTCGCAGCACAACTCCTCTGTTGTCAGAAGCTGGAGGCCAATGATTCTCTCGTAGGGGGTGGTTCACGACTCTCAAGCTCGGGGAGGGAGAAACTCTTTGAAGGGGTTTGGACGACGGGGGGTCGCAACGTTGTTGGTGAAAAACACGACGAGTTCACGATGTTAAGCTCCACACACCGATCCGTCCTGGCACAACCTTTATTTTTTATTTTTTTGTTGGTTTAAGCTCAAATAAATTCAGACAAAAGTCATGGCACAGCTCCCCTGCTGTTAGAATCTGAAGGCCAAGGACTCTCACGAAGGGGGTGGTTGACGATTCTCCGGCTCAGGGAGGAGCTCTTTGAAGGTTTGGATGACGGTCGCAACCTTGCAGGTGAAAAAACCTACAAGTATGGGTAACAATTGCAAGTGGATTCCAGTGTCTGGAGCCAGTAGCTCATTCCATCTATTGAAAGTCATGGTAAG